CTAATATAGAGATGTTCTCTATATAGTCACAGTTATATTTAAAATAAAAAAAAGTGACTATATAAAATTTTTTTTAATAATATATATATGTTGTAAGTAGGAATAAAACTATAATAGGTTCAGCATCTACTTAGATTAGAACGGAATAATTATACTAAAAATCTCACTCTAACCTTAAAAATTCTAAATCAACTTAAATTCTATTCTCACCTACAACATATATACTAACAAACCACAATATATATAGTACGTATCTGGTCCTTAATGCAAATTTTATCAGCTTTCACATGATTAAGCATGATATGATATCATGTCTAATCATGTGAAAGCTGATATATATAGAAAAAATTTGCATTAAAGAGATTTCATCATTAGTTTCGTTATCGCCGTCTTATGATATTAGACTGGCTTTATCATCCCACTATCTGAATTAGCAATAACCATACAATATGAAGCCTGTTTAGTATAATCATAGCTTAGTGCAGTGACCGCCCGATTAACGGTTAATAGATATAGGCACCATGGCTGCGTTGTAGTGCAAGGAACTTAATTGTAGCCTAATGCTGTATGAATTAGAGTTTGCTTAATATGATCATAGCTTAGTGACTGGGAATAGTGCAATGACCACTCAACTAATGACTTAAGTATCATATATTGATGGTATTAGTAGTTGTAAGGTGCGTAGTATTGCAAAGACCTTAACATTATATAAAGTTTGGTATTGATAGATCATTAATAGGTATAAGGCTCCATAGCAGTGCAAGGACTTTAATTGCAGCTCATTGACTATGAATTAGAGTTTGCTTGGCATGATCGTGGCTCAGTGACTGAAAGCAGTGCAATGAATACTCAATCAATGGCTTAAGCATATCGATAGGTATTGGTAGATATAAGGTTCTACGGCACATAGTAGTGCAAGAACCTTAATGAATATATGATATAGATTCTGCTTAGTGTAAGTATATTATGCCGATAGGTATTAATAGATATATGGCGCCACTGCTGCATCGCAGTACAAGGACCTTAATTGCAGCTCAATGACTTTGTGAATTTGAATTTGCTATGATCATGGCTTAGTGAATGAAAGTAGCTCAATAACCACCGATCAATGAATATATGACATAGAGTCTGCTTTGCGTAAGTATCTTATGCTGATAGGCATTAATAGATATAAGGCTCCACGCTGCGTAGCAGTGCAAAGATCTTAATTGCAGCTCAATGACTGTATGAATTAGAGTTTGCTTAGTATGATTGTGGCTCAGTGACTGAAGCAGCTTAATAACCACTGATCAATAGCTTAAACATGCGATAGGCATTGGTAGATGTAAGGCTCTATGACTGCATAGCAGTGCAAGAACCTTAATAAATTAATTGATATAAGGCTTCACAATTGTATAGCAGTGCAAGGACCTTAATTGCAACTCAATAACTTCATGAATTGAAAGCAGCTCAATAATCACTCGATCAATGGCTTTAGCATATGATGCCAATGGGTATTTGTATATGTATTGGTATATGTAAGGCTCTGTGACTGCATAGCAGTGCAAGAACCTTAATGAATATATACATATAAAGCTGCTTAGTATGATCGTGCAATGATCACCAATTAAGGTCTTAATTTAGGGATGGGTTTTTCCCAGACACGATGATATTTTAGCTGGTTCAAAATTTGTATGGGTTTTTTCATCCTACTCCACCCAACCTATCAGATGTTCTTAAAATTATTTAGTATATGTGACCTGTTAAGATGATGGTCATAAGCAATAATTTGTTTGTACATGAGCAAACAAAAAGAGCAAGCATATTGTAATATATTGTAATGATCCTCTTCGAAGTACTATGTTGTGGCGATCCCAATTCCCATATATTTTTCCTTTGTAATAAAAATTCGATCAAGCAATAATAATCTAAGATTTTTGCATTTATTTAAGCTAAAAATAAAATTTGATCCAATTATTTTATTCGGGAGCATTTTTGGAATTGGACCCAAATTAAATACCCGAATTACTATTTGATTATTACATAATATATGCGTCAACCATACAATACATCTATTAAACTAAACCCCAAAATCAATAAAACTATATAATTATCACGTCAAACTAGGGTATTCGGTCAACTATATTTGACAAATATATGCGGTGCCATATAAAAATTAATTAAGAAGATTTTTTGAATTTAGTGATTAGGATATTAATAAGAATTATTTATCACTTTTTATATATGCATATTATATTTTATGTGGTACAGTAGCGATTACTTCAAAAAAGTAGCACCCTGTAATTTTATATGACTTTATAGGTGTTAATTTTATATATGTATTATATAAGCTGTTAATAAAAAATTGTGATAGTAACTATAAAGTGATTGTGCTTATATAAAGGTATAAATAATATTAAAAATGGTTAGTAAAAATATATGTGTGATTATATTGAATTTGTGACTATAGAGGAGGTGACTATAGAGAGGTTTGACTGTATATCAAGCATTTTATTAATTTAATTCTACCTACTTGTATAATCCTGTTAATGCTTGACAATCACAAAAGCTATATAAATTATACAAATATTAAATTTTATGATAATAATAGAGTTTTATTCTATATACTTTTTCTACACACTATATATATACTTCAACCATCTGAAATTCTCTTTACCAAATTTAAAAAAGAATATACAATAAGGGTGCTGATATTTATTAGGTAATATTTTAGAAGATGGAAGATAAAGCCAAACCTTACCTCAATATAATACTAAAATTTAATTGGTTAATAAAAATATTATCTGAAGAGAGGAAGTAGAGCTCTATAGTAAATAAATATTAGATAATAAATATCAGAGCTCTAATTATAACAAACTTCACAATATTAAAAATAAAGTGATTATCAAGCATATATTCACAAGTATTTTAGACTAGTATTTGTTATAATCTACACCTCTGAGGCAATTACTAATATTTTTAAAATTATAAGAATTTAGTTTTTTAATCTCAATACAATTAGTTCAGACTAGGATGTGGTGACATAGAGTAGTTATTAAGTTGTTACCTCTCAAGTGGCAGGTCTAGAGTTCAATTCCCACCAGAGATATTTTTCGAAAAATAGGTTTGTGTTATAGTAACATTTATTCGATGATTGGTTGAGTATATTACCTGTAATCTTGGTATCACCATCTTGAAATAGAAGCTTTAGGTGATCCAAATTCAAAAAACTAGAATATTTGAAACCTATTTGGCAAGACCCAAGCTAGAAGTAGTAAAGATCTTTAACGATATTATAAAAAACCAAAACCAGAGACTGAAGAACTAGACAAACAACCCTAAGGCAAGAAGAGTTTACCAACCTAGCCACCAGAGTTGTACCAGAGAAAAAAGTCTGATGCTACGAAATTCAGAATCAAGAGAAGTAAACCAGAAGGCACTTAGAACCTAGATATAACAATCTTTTCAGGCTAACTAGTTTGGTAGTTGAGGAGAGATCGGTATAAGGGCCAGTTAGAAGTGGATATCAGGATCAGAACAAACCTTGTAAAGGGCAAGGAGTAGATTACGGTAGTAATGCAAAAGATCACAAGTTCTAGTCCTCAGATTGGAGCATATATTTTCAAAAAATCTAGGTGATATATGTGTGAGACATTGGGGTGTCTAATGCATATCGATTTACAAACATAGTGCAGGTGATATAGTAAAAATCATTAATCAATTTTTTTATAATTAAAATTTTTAAGATCTGCATGCAATATCAAAAACTATAGAAAAGTTGCCATCTTTTGTCCTTAATTCCTCCTGTAATATCAACCATTTTTTAGTTCTATAAGCACAAAATGTTTAATAAAATGTGTCTTTACATAGTAACAACGTTAGAATTTTTATTTTACTAATATAAAAGTCTCTAATTCGAAGTGCAGTTAGCCTATTTAAAAGTCATATAACTGATTTTATTTAATGTTGTACAAGATAACAATAAATAAAAGTGAAAGAAAAAATCTATCGCTATTTTTTATTTTTATATACAAAAAGGTATTTAATATTTTATAATATTATTAATATTCGTTTAAAAGTTTATAACTTAAACTAAATATCTATTTTATATAATACAGCTTATAAATTTACAGTTTTTTTGTTACGTCGCCAGGTAAGAAAACTGCTAAGAATTTCATATGCTTTTTCTTCCTTAGAAATCTTATTATTCTCTAGTTGCTTAGTGACATTAGAGCTACTGGTACTTTTCCGGAGGTTTCGCAACATGTCCTGAGAGATTTCTTGAAGTTCACTATCCAAACCCGAAAGTTGAATGCGTAACTCCTGTAATTGAGTATTCATATTTTGGTGAACTTTCATGTCATAACGATTAAACAATCCTTCCAATTGTTGCTGATGGACCACAATGCTCCATATCTGAAATTTAATGAACTCATAGATAAGGGGAACTTTGCCGGTTCTGATATATCAGAATCGGCAAATTTTTCAAATTCTTCAAAAAAATCATGTTGTGCTAATGCTTCTAATAATCCAAATATATTTAAACATCTATTAAACAGGTCTTCTTTTAGAAGCTTGATATATGATGTCTCTTTTAAAGTTGAAACCCTTAAAAAGTTTTATCAAAAAATACATTTAAAAAGGCACGAGCGAACTCGGGTCCATCCACACCACCTAATTGGCAAACGCTGAGAGGTAAATGAATTCAGGTTTTCATCCATTTAGTAATCCGTTTAGTGCACTTTCTATCTCAGCACATAATGATACATGAAAATTTTCAAAGTCTACTACATTCAACTCACATTCAGCATCAATTAATTCATTGCCAAATAATTGATGAATATTTTCTAAGTAATACTGAAGCCTTTAAATCCATACCATTATTTTATTAGGCATTTTGTGTGCACGATTACCTGGTGGAAGAGTATCTACATTATTCGGTTGGTGAATTTGTGGAATTGGATCATAACCAGTAAGAAAACTATAAATGGGCTCATAAAATTCCTGACCAAATTTAACAAGACATTGTATTTGGAGATTAAGTCGATTATCAGTGAGCCATTTAAGAAATATTTGCTATTTATTTAAATATGATTTTGGAACGTCTTTGGTATTTTCAAGTTGCTTAATAAAGAAATGTATAAAGCAGATATAAACTTCACGTCGATCAAGATATTGTTTGGCGGTTTTGAGCTCATATAACCACTGTTGACGGATAGGCTATTGATATTGACATATTTCGAAATTAAACAAAATTTTGTAGAGTTTTCTTAACATTTCCGATTTTAGATTTAACGGACTGTCCTTATCTAAAAGGTTGTATCCGTCATAGAGGTAAAAAGCAAGATTAAGTAGATTATATGGATGCACTTTTAATGACAATCCTTTAACACTATCTAACTTTCCAAATACTTTATTTTCAAAATTTGTTAGGGCGATATGGGTTGCATGCAACCCACAAGGAATTCGAAACGATTTAGATGCTGTTAGTGAGTTGAATTTAGCAATTGCACCGTTGGCCTCTGAGGACATATAAGCCGTATTATCTGTTAGCCAAAAATGATATTTTTGGGGGTCAATTTCTTTTTGTTGGCATGTTTCAAATACTGCAGCTAAGATAGTTTCGGCATTACAATGAATTAGGTCTTTTACTTTTAGTACAGTAATTATAGGCTTTTCTTTAATATAATTTCAATATGAAAGGCAAATAATTAACACCTTTGTTTCTCCATGTGTACTTTCATCAACTATGATACCGTAGCCGAAAAATCATGAAGCATCGACAGGGCGGTTTTGGATGAAAGATAAGGCAGCTATCTCATTATTTCACCGTGCCAAGGTTGATGTCATTAACCAGTGTTGTGGCATTTCACCAGTTAAAAATTGATAAATAGCTTTGGTATATTCTACTGTTGCACGTATTAAGGTTCGCCCGATAGTGCTAATATCAGTAGCTAATTTCACAAATTTTGCATTGTATTTATTATTATTAGCTCTAAATAACTTATTAACTTCTTGTTGGAATTGAACAGGACGAACCTTACTTGCTTTGCGAATAGAAGACCGAATTTTTGAAATTTGTTTTTTTTTTAGATTGTTTGGCTCTTGCTACTTGTACCGAAAGTGAACGAGAAGACTTAAGTCTTTTTAAATGCTGATTCAAGTTTTTATTTTTTAATTCTAATGTACCGATAGTATGATTATTTTTATTAAAACTAGCATTTATAAACTCATACGCCTTTTTTGTAAATAGATAAAAATTATTTCTCTTTTATGATCTCCTTGAGGATATGTCATCGTTTGAAGAAGTGCAGATGCATTGAAAATTTGGTGATCAGGTAAATTTAAAAAATATATAAATATATCATTATGTTTTATTTGAAGGCAAGTGTTCATTTTTCGAGATTCGATGATATTTTTTATCACATAATTAAAATCATCATCATCTAATTTTTCGAATATTGAAATTAGGTGATCAAGTAAGTCTTTTCGTTGATCATACTTTCGCGACATTCTGGCATTTTTAAGTTGTCTATTTTACTGACCTATTATAGCTATAGCATTTATTATTTTGTAATGGTACACTTGTTAGCAAACACTTTAAGGTTTGGGATTTGGATTAATTCAATTATGTTGAATTGGATTTTGGAAATTTGAATATTTAAGATTAGCAATGATTTTATTTTGGTGTTTGGAATTTGAAACGATTTTTGGCTGAAATGAAATTTAAGATTTGGGATTCTGAAAATTTGAATTTACTTTAACCAATCTATAACGAGCTCTTGGCCCTTTTATAATATTTCACATCGTGAAAATATAGAAATCATAAATCACAACCACAATGATTTAAATAATAAGCGATTATTTGATTTTAACTTTTCGTATAGTACGCATTTATTATAATAAAGTATATGGGTGCTTTTATTTAATATTTTAGTATAAACTAATAAATTAAAATTATTACATCAATTTGCTTATTATATCAAAATGTAATTTAATCAAAAACAAGTTTTTATTTAAAGAATCGAAGAATGTTTTTCGATTTGTGATAATTTATTAATTTTATTATAAAAATATAAAGTACAATTATTTTATTAACAATGATTATCTATATCAAATAAAATTTATTGCGATTTGCAAAAATAATGAAACCTTTTAATCATTTGATGGCATCAAACAATCTTTTAAGAACAAGTCGTGACCAATTCCTAAAATAATCGATCAGTTTCATTGATGTAATAAAAGCATCACAATCACGGTCAATTGTAGAGTGATCATCACTCGAATAATTAACAGTCTACAAATCGCGATAATCCAAAAAAAAAGAAATTTAAGAATCTAAGAATGCTTTTCGACTCTTGATAATACAATTATTTTAATATAATATAGATAAAATTCTAACAAATGATTGTTAAATTCCCGAATCGTTTTTCTTAATGCTCTACAATTATAAACATTGATTATACTATATACGATTATATGCTATTATAATACAAAAACCTCTTTTCAATTATAATTTTTTTTCACAATACCTCCTAGAATTATATTTTAATATGTGATTATGGAAAAATTTTGATTGTAAATACAAATTCAGAAGGCACACTATAATAATTTTTTGATCTAAAGCTTTTTAAAAAATCAATATGCATTAATAGCTTCCTAAATAGTTAATGACTAAAATATAAAGCCAACAAGATCCAATAACAATTTTTATACTGTAATACAAAAAAATCTTTAATTATTCATTTCCAGTGTTACCTTATTAAGATTTATTCATATTTCCACATTTGAATCAACAAGAAAAATTGCCGAAATAGCGCGTTTCCATATTCGAAAGGATAGAATATAATATGTATTGTAATACAGTATCATATTTTCCATATTTGTATCAACAAGAAAAATCGCCAAAATAGCGTGTTTCTATATTCGAAGAGATATAATATAATACTTGTATTGTAATACAGTATCATATTTTCCATATTTGTATCAATAAGAAAAATCACCGAAATAGCACGTTTCCATATTCGAAAAGAAAGAATATAATACTTGTATTGTAATATTATATTTTCTACATTTGTATTAACAAGAAAGACCACTAAAATAGTATATTTCTATATTCGAAAGTGCAGTATCTAAACGCTTTGTATAGAATCCTAAAAAGAAGATTATTAAAATAATACCACACTTAATAATTTCAAAATTTTAATAATAATTGATTTACCCATACAGCCTCTAAAATAAATCTATCAAGGTCTCTTGTCTGTGATAACTAGTTTTAGACACACTGAATAATGGTTTAATAATTATGCTCATGGAATCTTATTTTGTTCAACCTATTACAATTAAATAATTACATAAATGTGAACAAATAATATTTTCTTTTCAGAATAATGCAACTAAACCTATGATAAATAATCAGTTAATGATTAATTTTAAAAATCATGAATATTATATAAAGCTATTTTTTTTTCTCTTTCTATTTATTAATTCGTCTAATTCTCATACCATATTCGAATTTAAATCTAATTTACTATATTAGCAACAACATCCTATCTCATTGATTCTTTTTCAGATTCTGAAGACACTGAAACCTCTCTTCGAAATTTTACTAAACCTGATCATCCCAAACAAAAACTAAATAAGCAAAAAGCTATTGATTCCTCTTATAAGTTTTTTCATAATCACTTTTTTCAACATTTAAAAAAAAAACAAAAATTGATACCAAACTATGAATATTTCAATGAGTCTAATTCTTCAAATCGCCATTTGTTACAGTGGATAATTCTTAGCCAACAACTATTTTCAGTGGTTAAAAACAAAGCGTTTATAAATTTGGTCTCTATTCTCAACCCAAGTTATGAAATTCCCTATCACCAAAAACTCTTCACGGAAATAAGCAACCAATTTGACTTGATTAAAATAAAAGTTAAAAATATCTTACAAACTAATCAAAACAAACTAGCGCTCACCTTAAATATTTGTAAAGCAAGTACCCAATAACAGTTTTTAAGTATTAAGGTTCATTGGGTTGATGCTAATTGGATAATGAGATCCTTTTTTCTCGACTTTATTCTTTTGGATAACGCATATGCTGTGAATATCTAGGAAAAAAGGTTCTTGAGCATGTTGAAAATATGGAAATAAAAGAACAAATTATTGGCTTAACTAGTAGCAATGAAGTGAATAATCCGACGTGTCTTGATTATTTTCAAAAGTCCATAAGTCCTGAATTTGAGTATTTAAGTTGCACTTTATACACCATAAACCTCATAATTAAAGTGAGACAGACAAACTACCTAGACCAAATTCAAAAAGTTAGGCAATTTTGCAATAAATTAAAAGAATCACCTTCGATCTTGGAAGAGATGAAGAGCATTTCTTTTCTTCTAGACTGTTCTTTTCTCCACCCTATAGTTGATGTCGATACACAGTGGAATTTCACCTATTTGATGCTCAAGCGGTTCGTTCAAATTTGATTAATTATTGACAGTCTTATACAATTATATCCAAATATGAAAAGCGATTACTTAGAAGCTAGTGATTGGACAATAATTAAAGAAATTGTTAAACTTTTTAAACCATTTTATAAGGCAAATTTAATCCTTTCGGGCACTTCATAACCCTCCTATGGTTCTATAAGATTAATTATTTTGGGTCTTTCAATACATCTAAATCAATATATTTTCATTAATACACATTATGAAGCAGCCTGAAAAATGAAAGACAAATTGGAGGAGTATTGGACTACTCATCTTTTAAAATCCTCTGTTATTCCTACTCTAATTGATCTATCAACTAAGTTCGAAACTTTTCATGTAACGGACTGGAAAATGGCTATTAATCAACTAAAAACCCTTTATTCAACATATAAGGCAAACAAAGATCCATTAGA